TCCATCTATATTAATTCAAACTTGATGTGCCGATTTTCTTGTTCTAGTTTCATACCATTTATCAGTCCAATATATATATATATATATATATAATGATTCTTTTCTCATTGAGTTAGAATATAATCAAGATTTGGTATATATGCAAACTGGCTTTCCATGAACTGTCTGTCTTTAGTCATGACATAAACATAAGGCTTCTAACTTCACCCTTTATATATGCAGATATAGCTCTTTCTTCCTAAAGGTGTATGTGTCTTTAAAGAGTGTGTGTCTCCTTCTCTCTATATATACACACCTATGATATTAGTGTTTATATATATATATATATATATACATATATATAATATTAGTGTTTATCAATTAGATTTGTAGAATATTTGACCAAAAAATAATTTAAAATTATGTCATTTTAATAAAATATCACAATTGACAATTTAAATAGTTAAAGAATAATCTCTTTCTTATGAAAATAAGAGATGTTAAATTTGAGTTATATGATATGCGAGTGATGTGAGATTAAAAAATGAGAGAGGATTATCTTCTATTTTATAATCTAAGATAAAAAAATAAAGTATCATAGAAAAAAACTAAAACAACAAGTTTATTTTAGTATTTTTCAATAAAAGTTAATTAAAATAGTATAGTTTTGAAATGTTTTTCACCTCTTTTTTTACAAGTTTGACTAATAAATATTTTTAAATATATTTTTTCCTAATTTTTTACAAATATGACTGATAAACATTTTTCAATATATAGTGACTTTAGTCTAGCTAGCTCTATTTGGGAAATTAACCCTTTTTCGACTACTTAATCAAGATGGGATCCAACTGTTCTGAAACAAGAGACTATTTATGATCATGTTCAATTTTTCTAGCTACATATAAATATTATACATCAACAGGACATAAGTTCAATTAGTCTTTTACATCTGGCTAGCATTATTACTTCCTTAACTAATTAATGGACTTAAACTAAATCTCTTTCAAATAATTGGCCGGTTCATCCATACATATCAATTATCAACTAGTCGATCTCACAAACACTTCCCCCGGCCTTTTTACACTCATTCTGAGTAGATTTCCCCCTTTTTTACTCTCCAATTTTAATTTGATCATATTATTATTTTTTATATAAAACAACGTACATTTGATACATATACATGAAATGATTTTTGGTGAAATTTGTTATTAACTTCAAAACTTTTATGTCAAGATTTATGGATTTTAAAATTTTAAATTTAAATTTAAATTTAAATTATTACTAATAATTGATTATAATAATTGTATATCAATCATACCAATTATACTTATACTTTTATCTTAATACAAAAATTTAGGATGTTACAATGCACTTAAGAAGAACGTTTGTAGGGCCTTTTGCTGGTGGTAAATGTTACTTTACTTGAGGACCTATGTTCCTCTTGAAAACTTTCAAAAAATTGACTTTTGAGTCTTTTTTTTTTTGTTAGTACAGAAGCTTTTTTGGTGAACACAGGCTGGAACATGCAAGCAATGGAGTCCGATTTCAAGAAAATTATTCAATATACATGGCACCTTTCATACCCTTGCTAAAAGCGCAAGGTTAATTTACTAAACACTCATTAGAAATTGTCAAAATGCCCAAATTCATCCCCAAAGTATAGTGGCAGGAATGGATTCACTCCGAACAAAAAATGGGGACAAATCCACTCATAAAGTTTTCGACTTGGATAAATCACTTCAAATTTAATGTGTAACATTATCTAATATCATCAATTCATTAATTCGTTAACGGATTGCTGATGTTAAATGACATCACACATTAAATTTGAGGTGATTTGTTTAAATTAAAAATTTTGTAGATGAATTTATTTTTGCTTTTTATTCGGGGGTGGATTTGGGTATTCTAATTTAAAAATTGTTGTTACTTTACCCTTTTACATGTTGATTTAGGTAGGAATCATTTTATATTATTTGATTATCGTTTGGAAACAATTCTTACTTAAACTATATATTTATTGTTTAATAGTTTTATATAATAAAAAAAACCATAATTTTATATTACTTGGAACCAATATTAATGTAAGAGTTTCCATCAGAAAAAATATTAATGTAAGAGAGCCAAGGCCTATATATCTCATATGCACATAGATGTGCGCATGCATCGTTGCAGATGAATGGATTGAATTTTTTTTATCTATAATTAAAGTATCTTTGAATTAATTTTTATAAATTTTAAAATTAATTTTTTAAATAATAGTAAAAGTATA